ATATATATATATAATTTCAACTTTATATAAGGTGGATGAGTTGAAAAAGTAATTGAAGAATTGAAGTATGTGTATGTGTGGATATTATTTTGTATTATTTCTTGGGGATGATGATTCCTGAACTATGACTATGATATGGCACAATGAGATAGTAATAGTGGAAATTGCCTAGATTATGGAATCAGAGAAATCTGAGGTGATTTCTTGATCTCCTAGTAATTATCTCTGTGACCTTGGAAAAATTTTATGTCTAGGTGAGTATCACTCAGTTCTCTTATTTATAAAAGAATGCCTAATAATTTATTTTTCAGAGTTCTATGTATCGATGGCAAATAACAACAACAACAATATAAATTATGTACAATCGTGTACACAATATTGACGGAATACCAATTGAAATGTTTCAACAAACGGATCCAGCATTCAAGGTGCTAATTTGTTTATGGCAAGAAATTTGGAAAACAGCTACCTGGCCAACTGACTAGAAGAGATCTATTTTTGTGTCCATTCCAAAGAATGGTGAACTGACAGAATGTGGAAATTAGTAATGTAATTTTTATCACACATAAATATAATTTTGCTGAAGATAATTCAAAAACTGTTGCAGCAGTGTATTGACAGGGAACTTCAAAACATTCAAGGTGGATTCAGAAAAGGGTGGGGAAAGAGGGGTATAATTGTTGATGTCAGATGGATCTCAGCTGAAGTAAAGAATACCAGAAAGGATGGGGTTCCGGCAAGATGGAGGACTAGGCAGAAAGACTGCACAGACCCTCTTCAACAAAGAGAAAGGAAACCAATTAACACAGACACAGAAGATAATCTTTTACCCCTGAGCCTTGAAAGGAAGGATATAGAAGTGGACTAAACCTCAACTAGCAGAAAAATTTGCGTGAAAATACCAAAATGGAGACATATGGAGATGCGGTATGGCAGCAATCCTGAGCGATCCTGATGGCACAGATAGCTTGGAGATTCCTGAGTGGTGGAAGGACCTAAAAATTAACCTAAAAATCAGCCTTGCTAGCCAGAGACTGCACAGAG